CTGAGGCAGGAGAACTGCTTAAACTTGGGAGGCGGAGGTTGCAGTGAGTCGAGATCACACCACTGCAATCCAGCCTGGGTGACAGAGCAGACTCTGTCTAAAAATATATATATATATGGTTATATAGTTTTGATACTTTTGTCTCTTTTATAGGCAATTATAATTGAAGTTTCCATGTAGTTTTCTTTTTTTAATGTTAGACACTCTGTAAGTTACAATTTTTTAAATCTGAGAGTAGATATATATTAAACGCCACTCATTAGAAAAGATCTGAGCGTTTAGTTGGCTACCCATTTCCTATCTTTTTTTCTTGAACTTTTTATTATGTATATTCTGAAACATACAGAAGACTATAATGAATGCCCATGTATTCATCATCAGCTTTAACAATTGTCAACATTCTGCTAATCTTATTTCATCTAACTGCCAAACATTTTTTCTGAAGCATTTTAAAAAAATATTCCTGAGGCCAGGCATGGAGGCTCACCCCTGTAATTCTAACACTTTGGGAGGCCAAGGCAGGAGGATCGCTTGAGGCCAGCTTGAGGCCAGGTGTTTGAGATCAGCTGGGGCAATATAGCAAAATCTCATTTTTATAAAAAAAAATTAAAAATCAGCTGGGTGCAGCAGTGTGTGCCTGTAGTCCCAGCTGAGGCAGGAAGGTCACTTGAGCCCAGAAAATAGAGGTTGCAGTGAACTATGATTGTGCCAATGCACTCTAGCCTGGGCAATAGAGTGAGACCCTTGTGTACACCCCTACTGTAGTACAGTCAGGAAGGCCTCTCTGAGGATTTTGTCATTTAAACTGATACTTGAAGGATGAGAAAGCAGCCAAGAAACAAGTATTTCAAGTATCTGCAACATAATGCAACATATCTTCAGTGGGAGGGAATGATATGCACTATGTAACCAGTGAGATTACAATGTAATAAGGGAGTAAGTGGCAGGAGATAGGGCAGATAGAGAGGTAGGAAAAGGCTACTCTGCTAATGGCTTTAGAGGCCACAGTAAGAAGTTTGGGTTTTATTCTAAATGCAAAGCCATTACAATGATATCATTTTTTTCTAGGTTGGTCAGACCATGCCGACGGTTCCTCCTCTCAACTTCACTATGAATGCTGCATCTGTTGAATGAATGCAGTTTCTGCTGTTGCTTTCCTTTTTGGATAAAAATTGATTGCAATATCTTATCAAAATAATGAAAAAAATTACTTTTCAATTCCTTTTCCACCCTTTTGAGTCTGAGGGGCAGCTGTATATTAAATGAAACTATGTATCATAATTTCATTTCTTCCATCAAAAGAGCTTTGAAGGAAATTCCCTTTTCTCCATGTTTTGCAATATTTTTTGTTCCTTTTGTTAAAATCAGATTAATCTCATCAAACATCTAAAGCATTTAAGTCAATCTAAGAGCTAGGAAAATATCATGCTGCTAGTTCTGCAACAATCTGAAGTGTGAATCAGGTGATCACCAAATACAGAAACAACTGAAAAATGTGAATGAAAGAAGGATGTACCTATGCTATAGTGTGAAATATTATACTATAAGCTTTAAAATGATAAATTTGAAACTTTTCAAAAGTGGTTTGAATATGGGTCATTTCTTTAGCAACTCAGCCAAACATGCTAACATTTTCTCAATCCTTCCCCAATAATTTACTCTACTAGCCCTTCCTATGTTTGCCAAGTGGCTATATTACTGAAATCAGCCCAATTGTCCCACAGAATCGATGTTTACAGTCTTTTAAAATAAACATAGATATTGACTCTTCCAGTTTTAAATCTTGATACTTATATTTGTCTTAACTGAGTTCCTTCCTCGGGAAAATAACCCTCATGCCTCACAGATAGTTTCAAGAAACTCAAACCAAATCACCGTATCTAGACAATGAGAAGCCAGGCCCCTCATCCTTCATGATTTCCTTACTTCTCCCTAATTCCTGTTTACCCACATGTAGTTACATTCCTTTCCCACTATATAAACTCCCAATTTTAGTGAGTCAGAGAGTTGGAATGACTACTTTCCTGGCAATAGTCGTCGTCTCAGTGATTGGCTTTCTGTGCAGGGAGCAATGGGACCGAGACTGAACCCCTGACATTTTGGTAACATTATCTGGTTGGGAGGTGGGATGTCACTGCACTCAAGAGCTTTCATTTACTTTACCTCTCTGGTCTCCAATAATTCAAACACAGTAAGTCTTATAGTCCTACTGCTGAATTTTCACCCTATTTTTCTTTACAACATTCTTTTTGATAAATAGTGCTTTTGCATTTTTAAAGATATCTATTCAACTCACAGAAATGTCAATAAACTCCAATCTGATGTGGGTGAAATTTTCTCTTTTCTAAAACAATTCCCACTGGTTCATTTTTTTTTCTTTTTCTTGCAAGCTGGTTGTACTCTCTCTAGGTAGAATCTTACTGCCAAATAGAATGACTACCAAAAGGCATGGTGTATAACTACCTTTAATATATGCAATAAGGCAGAATTAAAATCCTATTAACATCACACAGAATCAGAACCTCAGTGTCAGAAAAGGCCTTAAGGATCATCTTGTACAACCACCTATCTTTTGTGTTGACAACCAAAGTTTCTTGACTGAAGTCAACATTTTTTTAAAAGCTAGAGATAGAAAAAAAACAAAACTGCAATAAAACATGTCAAAACAACTACAAAAGAAATGGTCCCATTCTAGTTAACATTAAAAAAAATCATTACTTATGCAAATTAAAACCATACAATTAATTTTTGTAGGGAACAAACAAATTGTGTTAGACCGTCTATAAATTAAAAAGATGAAAGATAATAAGCGTTGGTGAAGGTGTGGAGAAATGGGAACCCTTGTATACTATTGATGGGAATATAAATTCGTAGTACAGCCATTTTGGAAGACAGTATGGAGGTTCCTTAAGAAACTAAAAATAGAATTACTATATGATGCAGCAATCTCACTTCTGGGTATATATCCAAGGGAACTGAAATCAGTATGATGAAGAGATGTCTGCACTCCCATGTTCACAATAGCTAAGATGCAGAATCAAAGTGTCCATCAACCAATGAACGGATTAAAAAATGTGGTATATATACACGACAAATACTATTCAGCCTTAAAAAAGGATGAAATTCAGGCCGAGTGCGGTGGCTAATGCCTGTAATCCCAGCACTTTGGGAGGCCAAAGTGGGTGGATCACCCGCTGTCAGGAGTTCAAGACCAGCCTGGCCAACGTGGCGAACCCGTCTTTACTAAAAATAAAAAATAAAAAAAAAATTCTTGTACTACTTTTATTATTTTGGAAAAATAATAAAAAAATTAGCCAGGTGTGGTGGCATATGCCTGTAGCCCCAGCTACTTGGGAGGCTGAGGCAGGAGAATCGCTTGAATCTGGGAGGCAGAGGTTGCAGTCAGCTGAGATCACACCACTGCACTCCAGCCTGGGGACACAGAGAGAATCCATCTCAAAAAAAAAAAAAAAAAAAAAAAAAAAAAAAAAAAAAAAAAAATAGAGTAGAATGGTGGTTACCACCAGAGGCTGGATAGGGCAGTGGGTGGGGAAAGGGGAAATATTAGTCAAAGGATACAAAGTTTCAGTTAGACAGGAGGAATAAGTTCTGGTGATCTATTGAACAACAATGTGACTACAATTAATAATAATTAATTGTATCTTTCAAAGGTACCAAAGATCTTTGGTATCTTTCAAAATTGCTAAGTGGATTATTTGTTTATTTTTGAGAGTCTCACTGTGTGCACGATCTCGGCTCATTGCAACTTCCACCTCCCGGGTTCAAGCAATTCTCCTGCCTCAGCTGGGACTACAGGCACACACCACCACGCCCAGCAAATTTTTGTATTTTCAGTAGAGACACGGTTTCACCATGTTGGCCAGGATGGTCTCGATCTCCTGACCTCGTGATCAAGCCCCCTTGGCCTCCCAAAGTGCTGGGATTACAGGCGTGAGCAACAGTACCCGGCCTAAAAGTTCATTTAAAATTTTCTCACCACAAAGAAGTATGTATATAATGTGATAGATATTTTAATAGCCTGGTTTCCTCATTCCACAATGGATACATGTTTTAAAACATCACATTGTATGCCATAAATATATACTATCATCAATTAAAAATAACACTTAAAAATGAGGTAGCTGCCTTCCAGCAACCGTACCTGCAGGGCGTATAAATAATCCCAATGCATTTTAATAACTAGTATAATGATATTCTGTTTCAATGTGCTTTAGGACCACCAAGGGAGGGAGCGAGTGAGGTTACACCTTCAGAAGCAGATGAGCCAGTTTCAACAATGCTAAAGAATTACTCAAGTGATGACAGTGTGAGTACTCTAACCTTAGGGACCAGTATGAACCTCTGTTACACCTAAGAGAAGAGGGAGATGAAACTGCAAAAAGATGTTTAAGAGGGGTCACAGCAATGAATGCTTCTAATAGTGAATCTCTCTGTTAGCTGCATATTAGAATCACCTTGGGAAAGTTCTGAAAGTCCCCAAACCCAGACCTCACGCCAGATCAATTAAATCTGAACCTATGGGGGTGGAACCCACAGGCCTAAGTATTTTTTTAAAAAGCTCCTCAGGTAATTCCAAAGTGCAGCCAAGGTTGAGAATCTATGTTTTAAAGCAGATGCAAAAAATTAAATGTGGATTTGACGTGGGGGGAAGTGGTGGTAGGGATGGACGAACTGAAAAGCCCTTCGGAATAGAGCGGTGACTGCAAGAGTAGGGACAAAAACTGCATGAAACCCCATAGCAGAGGATTCAAGGACCGTTTTTGTGTAGGACTGACAGGATTTGGGGGACGGTGACGACCTCAGCATACACCCGACTCTATTAAAGTTCAGTTAGTCTGCCAGCGGCCCTGTCCCTACCCGCAA